TGAAACGGAGGCAGATTACTGTCTCTTATACACATCTAGATGTGTATAAGAGACAGATAAGAGCTTTGCAGAATGAAGACAGATTTGTATTGTATTGTATCCTTATTCCCTTTTCAATGTTTATGTGAAGATTACTAGAGATTACACACTATTAAAAATAATGTATACTATGATAATTATTTATTTCTGCTTTTTTAGCTGTTGGTTAGCACAGGAGGTAATCTGGACTTTTGTTGGACCAGTGTTGCTTGTGATTGTTGTAAGTGAAATAACTAGCAGACTATGTTATCCTTGTACACGAAATAGTAAAGTCAACCATGTGGAGGACGTAGCATAGCGTAGTTGGTTAAAATTTGTGTTAACATAACCACTGTATGTGTGTTGAACTGTATAGATGTTTGTCCCTGTAGATATATACCATTAACCGGCTCTCTTGGTGTAAAACCAGTTATAACGCACGCACTGTCGTTCAGAGGAGAGATTTTTAAGCTTAGTCCCATTCGCAACATGATTCAGAGAAAGCAGTACACTCTTAAGCCAGACACTCACTGCGTCATACGACGAATCCACGTTTGCTTCTGGCAAACGATAAACGACGGAACACCACACAATCTGAACGGATCCTCATTAAAAAGACGATCCGTTGGGTATGCGTCTTCGTGTGCGTTCTTCGTCGTCTCGCCGTCGCACGCAGTGAGTAACTGGCCTTATGGGCAGGATCTTTTTTCCAATTTACTACAAGTGCTGTTGCTTTATTGCCTCGTTAGCAAATCCACGGGCTAGACCAACATTGTGTAGAAAATTTGAACCAACTGGGATACCAGGTATTGCCTGCTTGTGAAATTTATACTGTTTCATATCCAAGTAATTCCAAACTGATGATAATGATTCAGATGACGGCAACAATGATGACAGCGTCAACGACGACAAGGCTGAGGATGTTGATATTGTGGCTGTGGTGGCAATAAGTGCCATGGGGTCGATAAACTAATTGAATTGTTCATATTTGCATTAATTTTACAGGTTAATACCTTCATAATGGTCTTGGTGGTAAGGATCATAGTACAAGCATCAGACAGGTTGCCCGGAACTAAGAAGGGCGCCCTAACCAGCATGAAGTAAGTTAAAGTAATAATCATTGATGATGACGCGATAATGCAGCCAATTAACAATGACGATGGTGACAATGATAATAGTATTAATAATGATAATAACAGTAAAATCTTGAAGAATCCAAAAAATATAAACATACATTTGATATCATGCCATATATAAGATCATTAGGTTTAAAAATGAATTTGATGTTACTTATGACTATTGGCCTAATGCTGGGGTTCATTGGCTTTACTCCATGCATTTACTTTGTAAAAGTGTAACCACAGGGTTAAAACCTACGGTTAAGTTATCAAATTTATCAAATAATACCTTGCTTTTTTTATTTCATAAAATTATTCCAACACAACAATGTAATCTGCGATTAAAAACCCTCGCCCTGTTGTGCCATATCTAAGTATTTAGTCGATTCACTCCATCCACTCCATCTGCCAAACAAGGCCGCTAGCATCATAGGCTTCGCAGGGCAAGCCCACCAATCGGGTGAGTTTCCATTTCCAGTCTGCCAGCCAGAATTTACAACAGTCAATCCGCTCGAGTCAGCCCGTGGTCGATTCGCTCAAGTCGGCTCGGCCTACACAATTGACTTGGCTCTGTCTGTTGCAGCCTAAAATATGTAAATAACATACCGAAATCTGCATCTTCCAATCAGCCCCAAAATCTAGGAGGACCGAGATACATGTGAAAAAAATTGCATTGAAAAGTCACATCTTGTAAACAGTTCGGTCGTTTTGTAATATGCCCTAAAATCTAGAGTATACTTTTGCTTTAAAAAAAGCTGACCCCTAGATTGGTCTTGAACAAACACAACTTTTGTTTTTGGTCTGATGACCATCCAATTAATATACAATTATAAAAAAAGTAAATAAAGATATGATTGAAAGTACCAATTTTCTTTGTATGCTATTTAAGGGTACACCTCCTCATCCTGTTAGAAACATAATCATTCTGAACTTTCTTGCCCTGTGATTGTTTGTTACAATGGGAGTCTCCTGGAAATCGGGACGGCCACAAGCAAGCAAGAATCTTCTTGAAATTAACCCATCTCCACAAATTCATAATTTTGCATGTTTTCAATACTTTATTTTAAATTTTCTCGTGGAAGACAGTGCCAATGAGTATCACCATGTGCTACAAAATATAATTAAATGTGTTAAGGAAGCTCATTAACCAGATCAGTGGCAGATTCAAGGAGTTGGGGGTGGCAGGTAGGGTTGGCAACTGGCATGGGCCTCTTAAATATAAAATTATAAAAATGTGGAGTAGAAAAGAAAATTATATTGAAGTTTAAGTCTCAGAGGGCCATTTCTGGCCACCTAGAGGTGCCATAATCATAAATTTTCTTACTTCAGCTCAAACTATGGTGCGGCTGAGGTAATCTAGCCCCTCCATCTGTAAAAGTCCCTTCCCCCCCCCCCCTTTCGACCCACAACTGCAAATCTCAAGGAAATCACTTCTTCCAACTTGGGACCCATGTGAATATGATAAAAATAAATAATGGTAGTAATTATTCACCTTACTTTTAGACATGGTGTGAAGGGGACCATAATTCTGCTGCCTATTCTTGGATTAACCTGGGTTTTTGGAATATTAACGTTTAACTCGAACGTTATTGTGTTTGAATACGTATTTGCAATCTTCAACAGTCTTCAAGGAGTTTTTATTTTTGTTTTTTATTGTGTTTTAAACTCAGAGGTGAGTGTTGTTACATTCCTTTTTCTAAAGCTTGAGTTAAAATTACTGTATTTATTAAATAATATTATCAATTAGTAATACTGTAATTAATTACGTATAAAATCTATTTTTTCTAAAGATTAACTTAAAATTATTGGTTAAATAAATATATCAATTAGCAATAATTAAGTTTTCAAAAGCTTATTGATTAAAATAATATTATCATTTAGCAATGGTTAATTGAAGCTTGTTACTTGTTTAGGTTCAAGGAGCTTTTAGTTTGAAACGGAGGCAGATTATGAGCAATAGCGTTTTGCCTTCAGTGCATACAAATAAAACTCAGGTCAGTGCGCTGCTGTTTTCATTTGACTAATGCAGAGCTCCTAAGTTGCTCAGATTGCCCCTGGAGTCTCCAGCAATTTTGGTTCATCTCCAGGAAATTCCATATTTTCTCCCGGAATTTGAATATCACTTGGATTTCTCCAGGATTTTAAGAGATTTTTACAATTAGGGCTTATACTAAGCTGAATTTTCCCATTCTTGTGCATTAAATATGGCGGACATAAGATTTATTGAACAATTTAGGCAGTTACATAAACCTGCCGAAGCCTTTTTGTGTTTATATTGAAAATGGTGAAAAATTTGTACACATGTGTCCTTGTAAACTCGTCGCAAACCTACTGCCTGTCCTGTCTCCAAAAATTTGACTTTCACAACTTGGGACCCAGCTTATCTAAGCACTGTCTCAAAAACGAAAGTGCAGACATATGTAAGCTTGCATTTTTTATAAAATCTTATGTTAGTGTGCCCTCTATTTTTAATATGAATTTCTGCTATGCCCCACTTTTTGATATTGGTGTTAAACAGCTTAAACGTACATATATTTTTATGTTTGTGGGATATAAGTGTATGTATCTAGGAATAATAATATAAGGAGGAGCTAATGAGGAGCATCCAAGAATTTTTTTTTTTTTGGGGAGGGGGTGTGGGGGTGAATGTAGTGATATGAGGTTTTATATTTTTGTATGTAGGAAGCATGTGTTTCTCCCTATCATATCATCATTATCATTAACTATTATCATCATCAACATTAATCAACATCACCATCGTCATCATTATCATCACCAATATTATTATTATCATCATATTAAATGTTTTCTTTGCAGAATACAAAGATTAAAGATGATTCTTTAACAGATGAACACAGGAGAGCACAGCGTCTGTTTGTTCATGCTAGCAGAGACCCAACTAAGTCACCCAAAAAGAAAGTACAGTGTAGTAATTTTGAACCAGAACTAGGTATAAACATTTGTTATTTTTTCACTGTTATTAGTATAATATTTATCATCATCATCATTACCAATACTATCATCAGCATTATCATCATTGTGAAACATCATCATTATAATCATCAGAGTCATTATCATGAATCATTATCTATAATCGCTGTTGCATCATCATCATCATCATTAGCAGCAGCACCATTATCATCATTATCATTAGCAGCATCATCATCATCATTATCATTATCATTAGCAGCAGCACCATTATCATCATTATCATTAGCAGCATCATCATCATTATCATTAGCAGCAGCATCATCATCTTTACCATGACCATTTTTAAGAATACGATTGTCAGCATTATTGTTGTTGGTGTTGCAGTAAACTGTCTGTGCTTTTGTCATAATTATAATGGCTTCCCTTTCATTCTGTTTTTACTGTAGCTTCCCTATTACAGTACTGTATTATCACCGCTATCATCATACTCAGTCATCAACAATATCAATAATCATCTTTATTATCATCATTATCATCATACCATAATTATCAACGTCTCCATTATAATTATTTTCACCGTTATCATCATCGCCATCATTGTCATCACAAAAATCATTGTTATCATCATAATAATCATTAACATCATTGTTATCACTATATCATCATCATACATTATCACCATAATCACAATCATTATCATCGTCATGCCTATCATTGGCATTATCAACTACTAAAGGAAAGCTAAGGAAACTGGTAATAGAATTTCTCAAGTGTTTTTTTTATGATAGGGAGTAAAACCTCCATTAATAGCAGAGACCCAAGTATGTCGCCTAAACAGGACAACATGCTTGTTATTGACGTTCAGTGTAGTAATTTTGAAACAGAACCAGGTACAATCAATATTTATTTTTTGATTTTGAAAATGTCAACATCATTTTTGTCATCACCATTTAGTATCACCGTTCTTACCATCTATATCTTGCCCATAATTGTAATTATTGTAGAAGCGTGTAGCGCAGCATGTAAGACCGTTGAACTTTCAATCGAAAGGTCGGGGGTTTGAGACTGATGCTCGCCACACTGCTCGTGTCCTTGGGCAAGACAGTTTATCTGCATTTGCCACTCTTCAGCCAGTAGTATGAATGGGTACCTGGTAGGAGGTGAATGATTCGGTATGAAATTAGTGGTTCTGGTTACCCCCCTAAGCAATTTTTTGGATATGTGCGCTGTATAAATCCTATCAAAACAGGCCCGTATCCAGCTTTACAGCTGTATGCAGGCCCGTATCCAGCTTTTTGAATGGGGGGTGCGTTTTGCGAGTGCAGCGAGCAACCAGGCTGGGGGCCAGGGGGCTGCCCAGGGGCCCCGGTCGGGGTCCAAAATTTGCTTTCTTACGTCCTAGTAGACTAATTTGAAGGCATTTTATCATGTTAATCTCTATATGCCCGTGAACACAGCGATAGGGCCTATCAAAAAAATTACCAGTGGAGGACATGGAGAAACAAGCAAATTGTTTCCCAAATGAAAAATACTACTGTATAAATTCGTAACCATTGCGAATAAAAATTCAAAATCAATTCTGCTTTTAAATGAAAAATAGCAAAGTTTGATATAAAGAGTGGATTAAAAGCGATCTAGTATTCTTATTATAACTTATTTGTACATTCATACAATCTTAATACTGTACTGTTATGTGATTCATTTTATAATGATTCTGGGAATAAGGTCACATTTTTTTGGTTATAATTAGTGGACGTTTTTCGATTTCGGTGGTGCGTACGCACCAAACCCCACCCCTGATACGGGCCTGCAAAATAAAATAAATAAATAAATAAATTTTTTTAACTAAAAGCCGACTCTGGGGGAAAGGGTTTTAAAAATGGGTGGTTACGCCCCCCCCCCCCCCCCCGGGATACGAGCCTGCAAAATAAAATAAGTAAATAAAAAAACTAAAAGCTGACTACCAGAATCTGGTAATATAAATTCTAAAGTGTTTTTTTATGATAGACATTATAACCTCCATTACTAGCAGACACCCAAGTAGGTCACCCAAAAAGGACAGCATGCAGATTATTGATGTTCAGTGTAGTAATTTTGAAACAGAACCAGGTACAAACAACATTTATTTTTTTGATTTTGAAATTTCAGTATCATTTTGTCATCATCATTAGTATTATCATTATTTTTTTTATTATTATTACTATTTCAGCATCATTATAATTGTTGGTGTTGTCATAACTTCTTTTTTCGTATTATATTTGTGGAGTTTTATATTATATTTATATATGTGTAATATATATTTGGTGTTAATTTGGGAAATATTGTACATTATAATAATGGCTAATTAATTTAAATATTTATATGTACTTCATCGTGTTAGTTTTAATGTTGTGATCTTGCATTTCAATTTGCATGTTAATTTTTTTTTTTTAATATATTAATGATTTATAATAATAATAAAAATGAAATAATAGTTGTAATTTTTATACTGCATTGGTTGTAAAATATATATATGTTTATCGTATATTTGCATATTTAATTGTTTTTATGACGGGGATTTTAATAATTTTAATGTGATATCGATTTTTATTGTTTAAGTGTTTAATGTATATTTTTATAATTTTAATTGTCCTCCTTTGAATGTATTTTACATATTTGACTTTTCAAAAACATTTCAGTTCTTGGCTCCCATTTGTATTGTTTTTGTATACCTAATTAAATTATTAAATTGATTAATTGTCAACCCCATATCATCATCTTTATTTTCACAATCATCACCATCAGATGTAATAATAGAAATTCTGAAGTGTTTTTCCTATAGTCGACAGTAAACTTTAATTTTTGCTTTAGGTCATTAATACTAACATTATTTATTTTTATAGAAGAAATTAATTGTGAAGCAACGTCTGATAACATTTCGTCAACATCGACATTGAATCAATCCCATAATAGTAATCAAACTATTGCTGTGCATATGAGCGGTGTCGCAGCTGATTCACTTGTGAGTCCGTGGCAGCTGGTTGTGAAAGCACTCTGTAAAAAAGCCTGTCACATACTAGAGTAAAAGAGCTTCGCAAACGGCCGGGAACAACCTTTTGCAAAGCTGTTAACTTCTGTGTGCGATGAAATTTGCAGAAGTTTTGATGTCGCCAGTTTTATGACAGATGAAGTAAATTAGCTACCTGATTTTTTTGGTGTAATTGGTTTCTTTTGCTCAGCTATAACCTCAAGTCCACTATGTCTTGTGAGGATTTGACTACTCGAGGCAAATAACTACCAATCATGTGTAATATTGTTCTCGTGAGGTCAAAACTTCAACAAAATTTACCACACATAAAGTGAACAGTAAACAGCTTTGCAAATGGTTTTTGTGGCTTTTGGCGATGCTGTTTGCCATCCTGTAAAGCAGGCTTTTAATGAACAGCACAACAGCTGTAATTTTTTTTTATTTGCAAGATTAGCTTTTAGAAATTGGTATATATATTTAGCATATTTTTTCAAGAGATGCACATACCTCCAAGGGAATATATTAATTTTAATTTGTTTTTGTTTTCAGAGTGATATAAGCAATCCATTCCAGAAAAAGCCAAAACTATATGTGAGAACTTATCACAAAGCGATTCACGTGGTTGAAAAATCAGAATTTGAGTTCACATTATATTCACATAGGTCGCATTATAAGCCATAATTTGGTCTTTGAATGGCTTTCCTAGGATAAGCAGATCCAGAGATGACCTTTTAAGTTTAATTACTGTATTGTGGAAAAATGGTTTTGAGTCTTAAAGCTAAAGTAACAATGAACAAGTAATAAGGCTGGAACTGCAAAATCAGTGCAACACTTTTGTAGTTTAGTCAGAAAGTATATTATCATAGTGTATTCCAAACCACTAAGTTGCTCAATATGATCTAACCCATGAAGCATTTCATTTCGTGGTGAGACCTCACATAAAAGAGGAAACATATGCTACAGAACAGCACAGGGATGACTTATATGAGTATTATCAAAGATCTTATAAACACAAGATAGCGTTCTCCGCGATTTACGCGTAACAAATAGAAGCGTCGGTCAAGGGTCAAAAGTTTCCAATTTAGCAAGAGGGCGCCATTCATGCTTTATTACAGAATTTGCACGCGTAAATCGCGGAGAACGCTATCTTGTGTTTATAAGATCTTTGGTATTATGAGTAAAAGCATTGGTATATCAGGAGTCTTGGAATGGGGGAGGGATGGCGTGATGAAGTGAGGGGAAGGAGCTCGCAAAATATGGCGATATGAGGTGATTTTTAAATATTTCAGCTTGGTTTTTTTTTGCTTCAAACATTTTGAATGGGGGAGGGGAGGACTGGGGTGTGCAAGTATTTTGGAGGGGGTGTGCACCCCAAGATACGCCACTGGATAAAAGTTGTGGATGCTGGTAGATTGCAAAATGTCAAACTACAGTATACAAAATTTAGAGTGTATGCTGCTGCAGTAAAATTCACATTGCTTTTGTAATATTCTTTGCTTAATACATGACATATTTAGTGCTCTCTATGTGTATGTTTGCTTAGCTTTAACAGTATAATATGTAAAAAAAAGAGTGGAATTGTGGTTTGGTGGTTAAGGTGCCATCCTTCTAATCCAAAGGTTCTGAGTTCAATTCAGCTCAACTTCCCACACTTAGGCATGCCATACCATTTTGAGGGAGCATTTATTCATCGTTATAAGACCTTCAATGGAGACATTTATTTTTGTATATACAGATCTCCCTCTAATTAAAGACCACTATCAATTAAAGACCACATTTCTTTGGTCCCATATTATCAAATGTCTTTTATCTTTATTATTTTGTTTAGAGACCAAAGACCATGGAACCCCAGTCCCAACAGTGTTCTTTAAGTGAAGGGAGAACTGTACTGAATAAATGTCCCTTTTCATTTCATTCGCTTCATTTGGGAGCATTTATTTTAAGACAAAATTTAAACTCCCGGTGGGGGCACACATATTTTATTGTGGAAGATATTTACAGGGGGTCACATGTAGGAAGAAGACACTTCCATGAGATTTGATTAAGTGACTTTTCTTAATTTTTACGATTGAAAAACTTCATCAGTTTTTGTTTGGTTAATTGATTTGAATATCCTTTAAAATATGATA